CAGACTTGTGCCCGCTTCTTCAAAAAAGTAATTAATTACAGACATAATTACTTGGTCTAAAAAGGTTATGAATTACCTTTACAAATTACTCGCCGTAAAAAGCAATCGATTAATCACTTCGTTACTTCACTCGATTACTATTGCGTTACTCCAAAGAAACACGAAAAAGACATACACTGTCTATACTGCGTGTTTGAGGACGAAAATTTGTGGCCCCGTCAAAACTAAAACAAAAATAAACAGATTCACTACTTTTTACCCACTATTTTAGGCTAGTACTTTTAGGAGAACGAATATGTAAAGTTTTAAATGACTTAAACAGGTGTCTGATATATGCGAGTCTTGCGCTGTCCAACCGGGACTGAACTATAAATCCAGGGAACAGGCGACGAATGGACTTGGTGGTGGAGGCACGTAAACTATTCGAATTAATCGGAGTTTGGCATCGGTGAGCTTCAAAACACTATTCCCCAGAAGATATGGTTTTTCTATGCTTGCTGCATGTTGCCTAAATAGGGGCTGGTTTACCTACTAAATCGGACTGGCTGTGAGACCAAAATGAGGTACATGCGTTTGGGTACATTTCAAAGACTCCTTTTTGATGAAGGCTGTTTTCCGAGCGAATGAGCCCCTTGATCTTCTTTCTTGATTACCAAGCTTATCAAAACCAAAACGTCACACGGAATATAAATGCACAATATTTCAGGTGAACTGATTTTGCCGTTTAGAAATCATAAAAAAAGCACAATTTTCGGTGAACAGCACGCTTCCACGTCTTTCACGTGTTTACAGGGGCCTTTTCAACACCAATGTCCAAGTGAATAACTCTGCATGCTCAGAAAACTCGGACTGTGTTCCCTTTCTCTAAAATTTCGGTATGTGTTCCCGCAGGCGAAATCCCCTGACGAGAACCGCAGCATTCTCCTTTCTAAGAATATGGGTTCAGCTTCAAAGTCCCAAGCTGTTTTGGCTGTGCTCCCCAGCTAGCTTATTGCCTGCTGTCGAAAGTTACTGTTTAAACTGACAGCAGCTTTTATGGTACATTTTCTTCTGTTCTAATGAACTACTCCCATCGCAGTCCTCATGTTCCTGCCTTACGCTGCCGCGAGTGCGAAGTGACAGAAGTCACATAGCTGGTTGGTCCAGCCAGTATCTTTCACAGCGCTGTCGAGGATGAGCAGGGGTGAGGTCCCATTAGAGCTTCCTCTGTGTTTGGGGAGTGGGCGTGTCCAGGGAGAAACATCGACAAGCAAAAACCAAACAATTTCGTGTAACGACATAAAAAAAAAATTAGGGACGAGGCTTGAGGGGCGTGAGATGGGAAGAAGGAGGGTAGAGGGGAGGGGGGGACCGGGAAGGGGGGGGGGGGGAGAGTAAGGCAGCAGACATATGCACCACAGTCACTGTGTCCACGGTTCTACTCGACACGAACCCGACGCAACGGTTTTATGGTCCATTAGTTTTCTGCTCTGTAGTACGCTCGAACCAGTCCGTTCGTTTTCCAAGAAGTCGAAGCCTCATGCCTTCATGTAGACAGTCGAATCTTCCCAGCCTGTCTGACCGTACGAACGAGTTCATAAACGGTCTCTGACTGGGCTCTAGTGCTTTCCGTGAGTTTCTTTGCCCCCCAGCACTCTCTTCGCGAGCGAACCTTCTTCTTATGTTACCACGCTAAAAGCTCGAAGGCCGTTGCATCACCTTTGTTCCGCTTTATTTCTCCCTTTGACGGAACGGAAGAATTGTAACGAGTAATTTCACTAATTCGTTACTGAAAAACTAATGAGATTACATTACAAGTTACATTTTCAAAACAGTAAAAAGTAACGGATTAATTACTACATGACGAGAAAAGTAATTAATTACAAGTGATCTCGTTACTTGTAACGGAGTACTTCCAAGTCTGCTACAACGTGGGCATTTCGCAGAACAACGGCTGTTGGAGGGGTGGGGGAGGGAGGGAGAGCGTCACCGGAGCAAGAACAGCAGCGGCCTACAGGTAGGACGGGAGGGAGGAGCGAGACAGATCCTTGCCGTGTGCGAGGAACCACGGGGAGAGGGAGGGCAGTCCCTCTGCTGTAGAGTGGGGTTTTGCGTTCGTACTTGAGAATTTTTTGCCGCGAAGGGGCAGTAACAACTACAGCTCTAAAACAACACGATAAACTAAACACGAGTCGCTAAAAAAAAATAAAGTGAAGCATTGTTCCTCGCTAAAAACAACAACAAATAACTACACGCGGCGAGTGTACGGACTACAACGGACGCAAGGTCGCTCGGCCATGCATGTCTGCACCTAAACCTCCTCCCCACCTCAGATAGAAAAGAAGAAATATTTTTTGTTTCTTTCTTAAAGACAGTCTGCTTCCGATTGCGTGCGTCAGAATCTCCGGAACATTCGGCGTGTCTACGCTGGGAAACACAGTGTTGGTCGTCCGCCCCTTCCGTAAACACAGAGCGCGTAATTTCGGACTGCAGGAGAGACTCGAGGTGACTTCTGGGCGCAACCCGTCTTTGAGGTCTTGGAAAGCGGCAATCATTTTGTTTGGCCGTAGATGCGTGCTCTATGGGCTAGCTGACCCCGCCGAATATGCTGACCGGCAACAAGCGAGCGAACATCCTTCTGCGTGCTTGTTGACAGCTGACCGTTCGCGGGCCTTTTGTTTGAGAACGACGTCCGACGGCTCAGCATTACTTCGTCTCTACAACTGACGGCAGGACTCACTGGAGTGATGCGTGTCGATGAAGCGAGGCAGCTGGCTATTGCGTTGTCTGAGATTGTTGGTCGCTGCTTGAGTGTGAGCTACGGATGACTGTGCAACATACTGACAGCCTATGTGAACCCTGCGTCTGCTAGGAGCCGCTACCAATCGCCCAGCGAACAGCGCCGCGCGCGACGACTTTTGAGTCAGCGTAGGGAGAGCGGTAGAGCTCAGCCGCCGCTCGCGCTGCTCAAGCCCTTCCTCCAACGTGGTACGCCAAGTAGGCATGTCGACCTTGCAGCACCCACCGGTGTACCACTGAAGTCGAGCTGCGACTGCCGAGGTCACTTCCAGATGGGCACGCGCGACGCCGTCGCGAGAAGAGCGCGTATCGGCACTGGGTTAGATCTGCAGGGCGCTTATAGACTTTGCATCGCCTAACCCCCGGGTGAAAAAATGCTGAGTCACTGAGCTGTGAACGCATGCGTAGGGTCTCATATACCGCACAGCAGAGCAACAGTGCATGCTCAGAAAGGCGTTACATAGCCGAGCAGACAAAGATGGCAGCGCAGAGAAGGTGATTTTTGCAAAGGTCTAGACTCTATAGTCACTATGACAACTTAACAGGGCGTGGCGGGTCCCGAGAATTTTATGATCGCTTTTAATGGCTGTATTGTCACTTTATCGTGCATCTTAGGTGTATCGCTTTAATAATAACTGAAGAACTTTATATGGAAGAGCTATCAATGGAACTCCCGTCATATCAATAGTGCACTGCGATGTAAGGAAAGAAACCGAGGGAAAAGATTTGTGTCTACAAAATTCATTTACTTTATCTTTGGTACACGAGTATAAAAACTATAAAACACCGCACAATGAAAAAGCAGTAAAATAAAAAGTAATCAGGCTAAAACATCATTTCAAATCGAAAGAATATCTTAAATTCATGCTTACACGCGCAAAGAGCGTTTTGTCTAATTTCGAAGTTATCGGTGATCTTTCAAATTTTAAAGGTCATCAAAAATAAATTACTGGGTGATTTTTTTTATCTCTAAATTACTGGGCGGGAACGTAATAATTTTAGTCGTCTGTGTTTAGTGATGACTACCAACATGTTCGTTTGTCTCATGGGAAAAACGTTACTCATTAAAAACAGAAGGAGCCGCAGTAGCCCTTCAAGTCCACACTTTAATAAAGCTGTCTTTAGTCAGTGATATACAAAACACCAGACGTTAGGGTACACTCAATTATATAATTAACATTCAATTATCCAAGATACGGCTTCACGATTCAGATCTGAAACACAGCAAACTTAATACTTTTAACGACTTAATTTTCGCAAGGAACTAATTTTCGCGAATTTCACGAATCGCCTACATTTTGCAAAAAAAAAAAAGTCGCGCGAACAATTCCGGTCAAATGTAAGCACATTGAAATCTATATTGAGATCCTACAGTGTCACGAAATAGAGAACCCACGAATTATTCTAAAACTTAAACTTTGATTTAGATCGCGAAATACTGAGCCCGCGAAAAATAGGTCATTTAAGTAATTGCCAAGCGAGAGCAAAAAAAAAAATCAACTTTGACATTGCCATGTTTGCAAACTTGACAAAACATTGAAATCAGGGCAAATCTTTAAGAGACAGAAAACGAGACGACCACAGTGCGTAAGAGGAGAATCAAGTGAAAAAGCACATGTAAAGGAATGGTATTTGCACTTCGCATCGTCAAAAACTGTACATAGCTAAACGACATAAAAACTGAATCTCCGTGAATGGCTCCGGGCAGAGCAGAAAATTAGAAACTGCAGCGGAATAACAACGAGTTTCATAGATGTACCGAACACAGCTGCACGCGGGCTTTAGTCATATCCTTGACTCGGTAAATTTTAATGAAACGAACGTCATGATAATCTTCAGCCGGGTCTTTGATCGACACTCATTATGATGGAGCTAGGAAGTGGTAATAGGCAGCTCAATGTTACTTTACGCGTTTCGTAAAAAAACCCGCCAGTCTTATAATGCTTTTGCCGCACAACCAGGGATTAACAAAACCCCTTCATCTCAGTGTTTGGAAGTCTTCATTTTAAGAAAGTATAGAGTAAATAAACACCTTCTGAAAATAGGCGCCTTTGACCTCCAGATTGCCCTTACGAACCAGGCAGTTGCATATGCCGCCTCCTAAATTGTGTACCCGGTGACACTTTTTTTTTTCACGTTTAACTGATTGTGGAGCTTAACCATCATAAATGGTGGTATACAGCATTCGAATGGCCTATAGACCATAAGTGTCAGAAGCACTATTAAAAACCTCGATTTCCAGAAATGCCTTTTTTCTTGTGTTCTGCAGGGGGTGAGCTTAAGTTCCGTAAATCCTTCTATGAAGTTGTTCAGTTACGAAATTCTACATCTCCGAGTTCCCCCTGCATAGGCCGAGGCGGCTTTTTATCCTCATTGTCACTAGGGCACTCGACAACACTCGCCTTAGGCCCACCAGCCCCGTTAGGGCGGTGTCTCGAAATCACTGTACATCTGGCGAAAAGACATGTCCGCCTTGCCGTAGACAACAGGTCTTCCCGCGTTCCGCACCGCCGCCGCCATGGGCGTGGGCGTGACGGCGGAAGTGATGACGCCAGCGGAGGAAGGCAACCGGAAGTCACCCATGACGGAAGCGATGAGCTGCTTCCGCTTGACGGACCGGCGCTGCCAGCGGAAGCAGAAGAAGCCGCCCAGCATCAGGCCCACGTGAATGGCCGACACAACCAGGGCCGTGATGATGATGGTGTTCTGGGGGTCGCAGCCTGGGTCTTCTTCCACCGCCCGCGGTGTTACTGTGGGTTCTGCATGGAGATAACATTATGACTTATCCAAGCAGCATAAAACGTTGCCCTGGTTTGGAGGTCTCGTCAGAAGCAATGAAGGTTCGATAGCACTAATACACAATTCCTACCCTCTACAACAATACCCCCTTACAACTGCGCTTCGCTGCTGACACTCTCCTGCATGGCCTTGCAACGGTGCAAGCAACACCAACACGATCAAGCAAGGTCCATGCAGGATTCCTATAAACCTATGGCTTTAGAAGTAATGAAGCTCAAACTTCACTAGGAAAGTTTTCCAGTTATGATGTGAGGGTTAGATTTGCCAACCTCACATGAGAATATTCCCGAGAACCTTGGAACTGCAAGCAGTTCTCCGGTCTTCTACCGTACGCCTCTCGTCCAAATCTTCTACAAACGAAACCGACAAGTATTTTGTGTCGTCCAACGATTTAGGCGCTGTTTGTTGGTGCCAGGAAATAAATACATACTTGCGTTCAAGTTACTTTATAGTCCGACAACGAACGACTGGTGCTTCGGTTCGTGGAGGTGGTTTGTACGTTCGAGTTAGGTCAAAATTGGGAAAGGCAAAAGTCTATAATTCCGAAAAGAAAGTCGGCTGTTGTCCGTAAAACAATTATACTCTCTATCCAACTCGATAATAGCAGATAATTTCGAGCTTCCGGAACTTCAGGAAGTTTATTAAAAATGCGCTGAAGTTATTTGAACTACAAGTAACATAGAGCGAAGCTAGCCTTATCCTCGCGTGTCGCTTCGCTTTGACCTTCACAAGTTTCAAAACAACTGTACTAAATTCCAGTAAATGAGGTACCCTGTGATTGCTTACTTTAGTTATCACTTCCAAGAAAACATTGCAATACAGCATACTCCACAGCTGTCTTCAGAAGAGAGACAGTCAAAAACAACGACCCCGGAAAAAAAAAAAAAGAAAGGACGGCAGATTTTGGGGTTTTGTTTCAAAGATAGTTGGTTGAGACCTCAATGGCTACCTAACTCATTTTTACCAGAACGTTTTCTCGAGCATTAAACAAACCATTCTGCTTCAGCAGACTCAAGCAATTTGCAGTTTACTCGGGGTAATATGCTTTTCTTAATGCTGCCTACGATGAGGCATTGGGTCATTTTCTGTAGTCATAGTAGATCTCTGGTGAGTCTACAGTGCACAAGACCGTCTTTTTGGCTAAATTCGAGAACGACGCATTGTTTGAACGCCGCACACGGGCGCGCAGACGAAATGCCCGCGGTAATGCGAAGAGCTCCCCTTCTAGGTATAGGTCACTGGAAATGTTACGACAGCGATCGTTTAGACACAGCGATCTTCGTTCTCTGCCCTCGCGGTTCTTTCAGTAACTCCCTTTGGACTCGGCCTGGAAACAATGGTTAAGATCGTCACAGCGCTGGGTTTCTTTACCTCGTTTTCGACTCCGAGGAGGATGGTAACTTCCAGCGTTCCTGGCCCAGCCTTTGTCGACCTTGATGCCATTGCCTTCGCCAACCATAATGGCCAGGGACAAAGGCACCTCCTCCGGGTATGGCTTTTCGGTCGTGGCCACTATTTCTTGCAGCATCGGCGGCGGAAAATGTCTTTCTCTGTCAGAGTCATTTGTGTTGAACTGCTGGAAGCGTTCGCCGGCTATGCTACCTGGCTGCTCTGTCTCGTTCGAGCCAGGACTGGCTTGAGAGCCTCTTCCGGCCGCTGCCTCTTCCACCCAATTCTTGTTTTGTGGATGACTTTGAGGACGGTGACCTTCAGGCTCTCTTTCGAAGCCGTTGGGTTTGTAGTATCGTCTCGCTTGATCGTTCACGTACTGCCCATGACGCTGTGCATCCAACGAGGGACGCTGCCCATTTCGATAAGGATCAAGATACTGGTCATCGTTGACTTGAGGGACGCCATTATGTAGTGGCCCCTGTCTGCGCACTTGCTCTCCGCGAATGCTTTCATCCGGCTTTGTGGCCGAGACTCCTTCCACCTGGAAGTGAACCTGATTCCTCTTGTTTGTTTCCGGTGGAAAATTAGGATTCTCAAGGTTGTGCCTTGAATCATGACCGTACGAACTATGCGGTGGTCCTTGAAAGAATCTGGGGTCGCGGCGCCCGCCTTGGCGGTTTATATACGGACCAGCCATCGGGGAATTTGAAAATGGTGCGAAATCCCGCTCGTTCTGCATATATTCCCCGTTGTTTCCTTGCTGGTAATGGCGACCGTAACCCATTCCATACCCTCCGAAAGGCTGCGACGTAAAGTCGGGAGGTTGTGACGTTGTGTGTTGCTGGACAGGTGGAGGAGATTCCTGCTGGTCCATAGAGGTTGGACTCCTGAAGACAACTGTTGACGACACTTGTTCCTGGCCATCGGGTTGGAATTCACTCGAATTGGGTTTGAATTCGTCAGGAGAGTACATTTCTTGTTTTCGGAACATGATGGGTGGATCTGTTTCCTCCACAGCCGCTGAATCTGGGTCCGTTTGATTCACATCTGGGATGAGGGTAGTGGTTGGCATCGCGCTAGAATGAGTCTGTTCCTCTCCTGAGGAGGTGGTGTTTTCAAGGTCTGAGCCTTGAGGAATTGGGATGTCCGTGGAGTTGGGCAGATCACCCGTTTCTGTAACGGCGGTCACCTCAGCCTCATCTTCACTTGCAGTGGTAATGTTGGTGTCCTGGCTGACATCAGTAGCGTTGTTGTCCAGTGCACTCGTAGACTCGGTTACATCTGGCGTTGTGGGAGGTGGTTCGGTAGTTGTCTGTGACAGTTCAGGAGTAGAGCTAGGGAGAGGGTACGGTCTGATGACAATCGTTGGTCGGTGCGCGGTTACGTAAAGTGGGGATGTTTGATTGGGTGATAAAGACCTGGGTAACGTCCAAGACACGTCACGCCTTCTTCGGCCGAAGGAGTCGCCGCCGCTCTGGCATCGAACCTGCAAACACGTTGTTCAGTTCGTGATTGCCCTGTTCCTTTAAGAAAATCAATATTAGTGCGGGTTCTTTTACGCTGTCTCCTCCCCGAGGTTCGACTAACGGTACAACGTCACAGGGTGAAAATACGTTTTGTGCTTGTGCAAACGTCAATCCCCAGTATAACGCTACGCTTTCCCCACAGAAAGAGTCTACTCGACAAAATAATAATTATACCAATTATACCAATAGGCATACGCATTGCTCTCGCCGACTTGCCAATCGCATAAAGCCATTCATCATGACTTGGGCGCGTATTTGGTGGTTCAAAGCAGAATGTATGTATTTTGGGGATGCAAAATGGTCTGAACACAGTCGCTCTAAAAATTTCGGTCATTAACTATCCATTTCTAAGACCCAAAACGGAGGCTACAAGGAGGGGACAAACAAACGACGTCTCTTTGAGACGACTTGTGTTTGTCCCCTCCTATATGTTTAACTTTAACTAGCTCGTCTGCCTTATTACGTTACCTTCAATTAACTATCCACACGCTTTCGAAACATTATGCTAGATTCCTGAATTCGTACTTGTAGGTAGCATGTTATAGTAACTAACGGGCTGAAGAAACGCAGGGAGTTAGGAGTCCAGAATTTTGAGATTATGTATTTGTGTATAAAACATGAATATTGCCGCGTGCATGATCGGGAAGATACGCTTCTCCGTTCATCTAGAAGATTCGCGTACGCGTACACTCTTACCCTGAACGTAAACGATAAGGAGGTCAGAATAACCTTGTATAGTCAGTCTCACCCTAGCTCTTTCTCGAACATTCCAGGCAGAATATTCGAGATGACGAGCATAGGAGATAAAAAGCCGAGCGTCGTATCGCTGATTCATTCGCCCATTCTATCTCGCCATAGCCAGTTGTTACGCCGACGGGCCGTCGCTTGCTGTTGCCGCCGCCGACGCTCGCTCCTGCTTTCTCGACCTGTGTCCTCCTTTTTCGTTTCTGGCATAAGATCGCCTTCTATTAAATCGTCTGACTCATCGTCTGTCATTTGTGACAATATAGAAAAATACGTCGCCCTAGAATTGTTTTTTCTGCTTTCTCTGAATGTTGCTCGCGTGAACTGTCGTCTCCACAGCACGTTCTACGTGCAAGATTGACTTTCCCCTATTTTGCAAATTCAGAGCAATTTTAATCCATTCAAGTGCGAAGGTTGACATTTTCGGGAGTGAGCGGGCTTTTAAAATTGCACCAACTGTACACATTTACCAATTGTTTTGGTTTTTCTGTGAGTATTGTTATTTTGTGTGCGTGTGTTTTTGCTTCATGGGCCTGTATGTGCATGTATCAGTGTTACCAGACTAAGTTGTAGGCCATTTCTGGACACAAGGCAAATAGATAATTAAGTGGATGAACTTAAAGCACGTCTTACCGGATCGCATCGGTCCTGACAGAACCTTATTTGAACCTCAAAGTTGACCATTCCAGACGATGGAAAGCGGAATGCCTTGAAGTTGGCGACTAGTGCCCCGGGATTCCTGTAGTCTGGTCTCAATGGTGGAAAGATACTGGAATCCACCGGACAACTGTGGCGAAAAAGACCCCATTGCCCTTACCGACCCCTGAAAAAAACACCCTTACAAGTTCTGTCCACACTTCCGCATTCATCTCTAGTTGATTCAGAGAAATTTTAATCGTTTGAATGGAGTTGCGTTCCTCTCGGCGCCGATAAGTGAGATGGTGGATCTTGATAACGATGTAAAGTAAGACGTTTAGCCTTGAAAATGTATACCAGCAGTTCTCTTTACCTTGAACCTTTGCATTAATTTCTTCAAACGTTAACGCAAAATTTGTTAATTTAAAAATGGTCAGGCATATTCAGAACCAAAAAAACGAGGCTCAATTTTTGCGAATTTTCATTCGATAGAGGTGATTATATGTAAGAACATAATAGTCTTCTTTCCAGATTTACAGGTTTGAGTAGAAAGATGTGAAAAAGCAAATATACAAGCTTCGTAATTTTTTTTTTTCGTTTGCGGTGGTATTAATGAAAAAGGTATTGGTTGGTTTCATTAGCGCTTTGCATGTAAGCATGCCATTAGACTTTCTATAGAGCTATTTACATATATTAATATCTCTCATGTGTAACTATACCATCACGGTTACATCTTATGCCTTGCAAGCTTTGGTGCGTACCCGTTGCTGTCAATGAGAAAAAGGGATTCCCCGTTGGAGCTCCGTGCGTACAGGTTCCGCGCAAAAATGGCGAAGGCACCTAAAATGAAAGAAACGGGCTTACTGGATATTGAGGCACGCTACCAATCTTTCATTGCGCTTCTACACAAGGTAGTTGATTTGTGAAAAGCGTAGGGCATAATTATTGTCATCAAAACCGAAAAGAAAACACAAACGACACGGGAGACAAATATCAGGCCTAAAAAAGAGGACGAGATAAAAGAAAACCAAAAGGAATAAAGACTGGAATGGTTCATTTTGTCTTTATTTTTGTCTTTTTTAATTGCGTTTTCTTTTTTTCTTTTTTTAATGATGCTTGCTAAAAATTAGCGGTTCTTTCCACATCTGCACAGTTGAAAGGACCGATATTTGTGTCTTCTCTTAGACTGATTCGATTCGAACCACCGTTCGTACACCCTTAGCTAAAACGTGTTGAAGCGTACACAAAAATAAAACTACTAAAAAAATCTGCGTTAGATGCTTCGTCTTTAGCGTGGGCTTTTTGTCTTCGATGGCCCTTCGGCGCATGCGCGACCAAAGCACGACCGAAGGCAACAAGCGCGTGTTTGAGGAAGAGCAATTCCTGCAGACCTACTGCACATACAATAATGCAGTTTACTAAATCGAAAACATGAATGACAAAACGGTACCCTAACTTGGCAACAGGAAAAGATTCAAACGGAGATACGGGTCACTTTATCCCACTCACTTCCTGGCTCCTGTATTTCGATCTTGAGGGTCAGTTCGTCTCCGAGGCCCACGACGCCGGCGTCCCGTCCCGAAGGATCCAAGATCCGCATCACCACGTTCGGAGGCGGTGCCGTGTTGGTCACGACCGACGTGATGGTGGGCTGATGTCGAGTCCTGCCAAGACCAAATTCCGAACCACAATCTCAGTTTGAAACCTGCTGTTTTCTACTCCTAGCAATGGCACGAAAATATAGATGTGCGACATTAAAACACCGCGGTCACCGTGTCAAACTTTGTTCTGATACGTGACCATTAGTGGAATCACAAATGGAATGTGGGCTCGCAAGGGTGGCCACTGGGCCGACTTTTGAGAATATATTTTAAAATCCGTGGTGACGTCCGCGTCCGCCTGTCATTCTAAGTCCGTCGATTGCAGGGAACTTCAATGCCCTTTTTCTTTAACAGTGTGGTAGCTTATGTTACGTAATGAGAGCGACCCTTGCTGGATTGGCAGAATCCGATCACGAAAACAATGAGTAAGCTGATGTACCCTTTTCCGTTGCAACTCAAGAAGGTAGGGGGAGAGAAAAAAATGCCGGGGAGGAGGAAACAGACGGAACGCTGGAGGGAGGAGGAGGTTTCTTCCTCTCTTCTCCAGCATTCCGTCTCCTTTTTTTCTCTCGCCCTACTTTCTTGAGCTGCAACGAACTATAGTAGATTTTGTTGTTAGACCAATCAAAATTGTCTATCTTGTGACTGCGACCACTCCTGGAAGTCAACTGAGTGCGGGTGAAAAGAAAACCCTTGAACGTAGGTTGCATGATTTGGTCTTCAAGAAGGTCTACATTCAGTGACGATGACCTTCAAAGTCCTTAAAACGTGCCCTTCACGTACACGTGCCCTCCACGTATGACGTACATAAAAAAGTCCCCTTTTTTATGTACGTCATGAAGTTATATACATGCTACTCGAAAAAAATCATTGATTACATTTACAATCTGTTTACCTTTAAACGTATTCAATTAGAATGCTTGACACTTGAGAAGTAAATTAATTGGCTGTTGCTTGGAAAGGTGACCATCACTTTTCTGATTACTTGCAATATTCAAAACAAAATTTCTGTCAGTTTAAGTCATTTGTGCCGTCCATTAAAGGATTAACATCAACGGACTATAAGATGTTTATTTTAGTTCACACATTTTGGTAAAAGATCCTCCCCCAGAGGCTTGATTCGTGAATTTCTAGGTAGAAACAAACTTGTAGAAACAAAGGGCTCCACTGGAAAGGGAAAGACAAAAGGGTAACGGTTAGAAATAATTTTTAGTATTTCCAAAAGTAATCGGATTAATCTGGCGATTACTTCGTAATAAATATATTAAAATTATTACAAAATTACTAAGAAAAAGTAATCGATTACAAGAATTTTGATAACTTGTATCGGGGGCAAAGCAGAAACCAAAGCACATATTGCCGCGTGCGAATAGCTGAGTCAGCAGCGTGCTCGGCTCCCACGCCGCTAGCCTGGGTACGATCCGCGCCAGCGCTTCTCCTTTTTATCTCTCTTCTGTTTGCACGACTGGAACTTTCCAGATGACTCGAGAATCTTGTTGTTTGTTCGCGCTCGGAAACTTATAGAAACCCACGCGCTTACAAAAGGAGCTTATTCTTTGCATGGCTGCTTGAGTCAGTCGTCCTTCAGTAGCCATCAAAATATGTCTTCGTTACTTTATGTTGTTGTGCACAAGTTCGCCTCATTAAACCTCCATTTTAAGTTGTATTAATCAACGTTATGTTGTCTTTTTTCATGACAATATCTGAAAAGATAGTACTCGATGCTGACTGAACCAAGGGTAAACGTACGTTCAATAAATGCGTGTCATACAATACCATACCCTACATACCGTACAATACCATAACCAACCACATCGTACTACGCAGTACCACGCCACACCACACCACACCACACTACACCACACCACAACACACCACACCACACCACACCACACCACACCACTCCATAACCAAACCACACGGTGTGCCGAACCATACCGTACGATGCGATATCATACTATCCTAAATCAAACAAAATCGTTTCCAACTGTGACTGTTATCTAAGGCAGCGTCCTAAAGGCGGACTCCGTGGAGAGAATACGCTGCGAACACGCGGCGAATCTCGGCGGGGAGCATTCCCTCTGTGCTTGGCATCAGAACAGTAGCTGCTCCGCCGCGCGCGAAGCGAATGTGGCTCCGGGCGGTGAAGTTCGTCGGTTGTCCGCCGCACATTCGCTTCATGGAGTCGGGTCACTAAACCACTTAAACCACTTTCTGCAAAAGTTTGTTTATAGTCATAACTCAATCAATGGGCTGAAAGAATCCTAAAAAAACATACAGAATATTCATGCGTGGTTGATTTCGTCATTAAAATCGGTATCAAAGATCGATTACCTCAGAACTATCGAAAACCCCAGAGGGCGCCGTCGAAAGAGTTCTGCCAGATCCATAGATAGGGGAAGAGTTTCGCCATCTATTCTCCTCGGTGACCTCTTGTGCACCTTTGGCTCCTCAAACAAAAGTGACGTCACGCCCAGCAACCCGCTAGCAACCACCTAACAACGGGAGACGCCACGCGAACGACGCGCGCCTGCCAGCCATTACCGATCTCACAAACCACGCGCACGCAGTACCGACTTTTGTTTTTTTTCCTGGTAAAAAAATGGTTGGATGCGGGGGGGGGGGGGGGTATGTGGTGTATAAAACGGGAAAGGGAGTGTAATGGCTATGCGAAATGTTATTCTCCAGGCAGGGAAAAGACTCGCATAGCCAAAGGGGAGAGGGAAGGAAAGATGTGGATTGAGATGGTTTGAATAAAACATTTTGGCAGTTACTAGAAGAAAGCGCCAATAAATCATTTGCAGGGTAGAGGGAGGGGGGGAGGGGCGAAGCTTTGCTAACACTAGAGAGAAAGAGAGAGAGAAGCTTTTATTTAGGTCGAACATGCTCCTCGATCTTTAGTCCAGATCCGGGCCTAGGTAGCTGTGTTCGGACCTCCGTCGCCCACTACTTTCCAAATCCGATGAACGAGGGGCTGCCACAACGGCTTTTGAAGCTCTGGAAAGGGAGCGGGGGGGGGGCATTTTTTCAAGCTGCTTGGGATAAGGCGGTGGTGTAGATGGGAGAGCGACTGATAGCGAACCTGGTGGGCTGCAAGGCAGTCCCAGAGCGTATGTTGGTTACAGGGGTATCCACCAGAGTGGGAGCAGGTGGGTCGACCTAGAGCATTGTTAATGTAATGGATATAGTGCCGGGTAAGTAGAGTGTGTTTGCGCCTACGTATGGAAAACGCTTCTTCTCTTGAATAAGTCTATGAATGGCGAGGGCAGAAAAGTAGAGGCTTTGTGTCTATCTAAGAGAATTTCCTTTCTAACTTTATGTAGACTCTTTCTTGCCAATTTAGGTTCATATATTCTAGCACTGCCGGCCATGCCAGAGGGGGTCCCGGATTTGGTTCGCGGAAGAGCTCCTGATCTTGGCTATTCTATCTCACCCTCCAAAATCCTGCGACCCATTGGATACCAATTTTTAGCAGCGGGTATTTGTGCATGTGTCTTTACAGGATGCTGTAGATGTATGCAGATAGTTCATTGTTTAGAAAAGCTCAACAGACATGTTGGCTGTCCGTTTTCACAATGCGTTCTTCCTCGTATTCGATAAACTCGGTTATGGCCGTGGCTGTGGCAAGCAGCTCAGCGTGCAAAGCCGTCAAGGTTTTCGTTTTTGTAGGGTCTCGAAAAAAACAAACAAAAAAAAAGCATTTGAAATGTCGAGGCTTAATCTAAAATAGGTCGTAAAACGGTGCCTGCACGGAGCAAGGCGGCAAGACTTGGTCGTCTGCGTCGCCGTTCGCACTTGACCCTGGCAAGTTTTTTGGTCCCATCTTTTTTACAAAAAGGGAGCTACGCCTTGAAATTTTATAAGGTAAAACCAACCTGTAAAATACACCTTTGACGGAAAGTTTAGATTACTACAAGCAGGCGCTGATTTTTAGGGCCCATTTTAGGCCGAGTCTCGGCATTTCAGTAACCCTATATATAATTGCTGAAAATCCTGTGGACGTCTACGGCAGGCTCCCGACTTTGAGAGGTAGCAAGCTTGTTTTGACTTGAAATCTTTATTTATAAAACAGAGCTGTCGTTAAAGTTGGGAAGATACGGGTACATGTTTATAGATAATGGTCAGTAGCTTCAATCTCGTGACAGATGCTCTTGAACTAGCTGTTTGCCCATGAAGTAGGGATGTTGATCCTGTCCTGGCCAAGACCATAATGCGACTATTTGCAGCGGGAGACAGGGTCGCGACCAATGGTTCGCTGCTTCCCAAACCATAAAGTGAATTAATTGAAACTTTTAATTTATTACTTCTAATCAATGTAATTTTACGTTTGACAAAGCAAATTTGCTGATTTCTGTCTCGTTAATTTTTATGTGCTGATACCATGATGGATTCTAGGATCCCAGTACCGCAGGAAGGAAACATCAATTGAATTTTAATCTATTATTTCTGTCTCGCTGATGAAAGATATCGACTGAGGCTCGCGTTAGGCATTCACGGCTGGACCCTCCCATATCAGGATCCTTGTTTCGAGCAAACAATATATTTGACGCGCTGACGCTTGATTGAGAGGAAATAACATTACGAAGAAACAAAAACTAACATCCCGGGCGAATGGCTTTAGCTCATTTTAGATTCAAACGAACAATTTTATTAGAAAACACGCCAGAAGATCTCGGGTAACGACGGCATCCCGTAATACATTGATCACCTGTCTACGCTCGCTGGCCCATAAATTCCCCGTAAAGTTCGTCTGCCGTGAATAAGAAGTTGTTATCGCTATGCCCCGCTCAGAAACAAAGTAAAATTACTAAAGACAGCAAACATGTAAATTCGCGTGGCGCCCTGAACACACACGATGGGCATGAACGTGCTGATGTTAACGCGCGTAGGGAGAGAGAATCGACAAGCTAACCGGGAACTAACCTGCAGGAACTAACTTATTGTAGTTCCTGAATAAGCATAATACAACATAAATACTTCTAACGGTTGAATAGAAACAGAATCACAGTGATACGTTGAAGCCTGAAGGCAACCGAGAGCCAAGCGTTGCCTGAGCATAAAGATGGAGAACTGCAGCGCGGTAATGGCGTTTCCGTGACGTGTCAGCGACGTAGTTGACGAGCTGTCAAGCAGGCCACACCCGCTGGCCAAACTCTTCCCGTATCTATGGCTCTGAGTTCTCCTCGTCCGACGTAGCCCTCTGGTGTCTGCGATAGTTCCAAGATAATGGATATTTGACACCGATTCTGATAGAGAAATCGATCACCCATGAAAGTAATGTTTGTTTTTAATGCGTTAGCATTACAACGCCCGGCGGTGTTTTTCGTTCGTCAGTTGTCACATCTGACGCTCCCATTGGTCCGAAGCGCTGGCGCGAGCACGCACCGACCTGTCCCTTTTTTCCCGGCGCTGACAAACTGACAGACACCGCCGGGTTTTTGTAAAAACGAGTTCTTTCGTTTTCGGGAAAATCACGCGCACAGCTGGCGCGGACCCAGAGGGGAGGAGGCGCCGCGGGACACCTTCTAGATAACAAAGCCGTAGTGCTGAATGAGATGACTTAATAAGGGAAGGCCAACGCTGGACACAGATTGGAAACGTATGCTGCGACAGCGCTCGGCTTCGAGTCGAGTTCAAGCCGAACGCTGACGCAGTAGTCGTGTCCAACCTGTGCCCAGCGTTGGCCTTCTCTGATGATGCCATTTCATTCAGCACTACGGCTTTATATAGGAGGTGTTACGCCTTGGCGCGGTGAAATGCGGGCGTGCTCAGTTGCCGCTCTTCCCTCAGGGTTTCAGCTCTGGCCTCAGGGTTTCCGTAGTAGCGGTGCATGGGCTTTGATGTTCCTTCCACGGGTGGTATGAATGTGGTTCTTTCCACGAGTGATAATAGATGACCGTGTCCAAGGGCTCCGACGCACTCTGACAAGCAGAGTACAGAAAAGGGGTGAAAAAAATTACAGGAAGATCCATTGGTACATTTTTGGGGAATCAGTGAGCATGACCCTGTAAAAACGTCACACACCTCCCCCTTTGGGAAACGCTAACACTGATCCTGTAACAAGGTCAAAATCAGGCACAAAAAATATAGGAAGCAAAAGAAAAAGCCAAAAGAAAAAAGTGAAGGGGTCAGCGTCAGCTTTTCCGAAGGTCATGCTAAGAAATTCCCCAGGAATCCACCAATGGATCTCTCTGTAATTTTTCCATAGATTAAGTCACAACCATAAATAGACTACTACAGAAAGTGCTTTAGTGCCCATCTAAGAGCGCTCATCTTAACGATGTTCTACCTTACTTCGCCATAATTAGGCATACGGTCATTGCCTGACCGTACGCCCAACAATACGGTCAATGCCTCAACGTATAAATCAGTCCAATAATCGCTCTCTGAGGCGTGATATCTTCGTCTACTGGGCTGTGGTGAGCGTTCTGAGCATGTCCGGTGGTTCTCTTTCCCGGATTATCAAGCACCGCGAATGCGGCCACACCCCGTGAATGTACTCCTTTTCACCCCAAAAACCGTAATAAATAAAAAAAAAAAAAAAAACTCCAGCTCCTGACAGCTCCATAACTAACTACGTCCTTTATGTGAATAATTAAGATATCTGTCGGTACATTTTAGATCAGATCTATGTTACCCTGTCATCACGTGCACGTTTAAAACGCCAAAAGCATCGCTTCTTGCTCCAACAACCAAGTCTTGAAAGAGCTACTTCGCACGGCCTATCAATAATGCGCAAACCTCTCTCTTTTTCCTTCTTGAAGTGACCAGTATAGGTATTTTTTGACTGAGTGATAGTGTTGGAAAGGTTCATCTAACTCTACCAATGTTGTAGGCGTTACCGAGAAAATAAAGTGACGAAATTGTAAACTAGTTATTTGAAAATCAAAGGAACGCGTTACCGACGTACGTTACCTCAATATAAAAGGAACCCGTTGACGTTACTGTTACCAATAAAATGTAATGCACGTTACTTTTGTGTTACTTTCTCGTAATAAAGGAAAACGTCTTACTCTGTTTTGTTACATGTAGGCGTAACGCTATATTTCAAGAATCATAATGTATATGCAGGAACTTAACGTAATTACTTTATCCTTTTTGCGGTTATGAATTTCAAAGTATGCGGCATAAGCACAAGAATTCATATGACTTGGCGCCTATTAACGCACCAAAAAAAAGTATTTAAGTGTAGTTTTTTAAGTCTTGGAAATAAAACGAAACGAGGAACGAAACAGCGTTACCTTTTACTCGAAATACGTAAAGTACGTTATTCATTCCTCTTTCGAAAAAAAAAAAAAAAAATGTAGCGGGTGCGTTACTGCCCTACCCAAATAATCATGGCGTTACCGGTAACGCCGTTACATGTACCGTGTTGCCGCCTGCACCGAACTCGACCCATGCAGCAGCGTTCTACGTACGTCACGTCCAGACCGCTGTAAGCTCCGTTCCTGGCGAACGTGGACGCCAAGGTAACTGTCCGGTCGCCGGCCTCGAAGGAGCAGACGACGCGGATGTTGCGATCCGTGTCCGTCATGATGATCGGGTGCTGCTGAACGACCACCTCGTTCGCGTAGCGGCCGTCACCCTGAAATCAGTCACAAGAGAAACCAGACAAGTGTGTCACTCGAAAATATGGTGCCCCGAACCCGTCTCTGAGTGCTGTGTGTGTGTACGCGCGACATCAAACGCAGTCCCTCGGTTTCTGCCTGATAAGGGCATAGGAGCGTCTCCTTGACGGCGTCCCAACTGCTGGATGCCTAAAGATTCCCTGGATCGTCAAGTTCGTCTGCTTCTTTTTGCGGGGCTTATGGTGACTTCACAACTCCGAGGTCTGATTGGCTGTGAATGAAGGATTGTGGGTGGACCTCGGAGCAAGCTGCCTTGAGGTCTACCCATTGTCCTTCAATCGGAGCCAATCAGAGCTCGACGTTCCGACATCACCACAACCCCCTGCAAAAAGAAGCAGACGAACTTGACGGTTCAGGGAAGCTTCAAGCATCCAGGAGTTGGGACGCCGTGACGTCAGCGAACCTCGCGTTCGCTGGTACTTTGTGCCGGAACTTCTACGACTAACTGCCAGGATGGCGATGTCCGACAGGATGACACTCCTAGTTCCGTGACGTCACTTTGTTGCCTGTTTCGGAACCATTTATTTCTATGCATGGGCGATATAGGACGTTAGAGGGTTTACTACGGTTGATCGAATGCCAATTCATTCAAGCACATTTTAGAGAATGGGCACGTTTTATTGAAGCACGGTTTAGAGAAAGCACAGTCGCAGTTCAGAGAAACGCCATTTATCGAAAAGGAGACGCTTTTTTTTTTTAAAGAATGCTTTCCTACTTCGCGCGTGTATCACTGGTTCGCGTGTTAAACAAGGCCCCCCGCTGCGCTCCCGCCGCTTCGCGGCGGCAGTCTGCGGTGGCTCATTAAAAACACATGTTAACTCACCTGACTTACACGTACACGCCGCTTCGCGGCGGCCGAATTCGCTAAAAGGAGGCTCATCGCCATTTTCTATGGGTTCTCTACAAAAGGATTCGATAAACTGGGGTCGGCAAAACGACGTTCGCTAGAACGAGCTTCTCTAAACCACATGCCTCCGGACGCCAGACATCACCAGTGGGAAGACGTGTTTCAGGCACCGTACTTAAAACATTCAACGGAGAGTTTTCGTGGATCGCGTTTCCCCCTCCGCTAAGCCCTCCGCAACAAAGAAGCCACTACTGCGCCTGCGCGCCGATGGCCTTGACTGTAGAGTTCAGGGTGTTCTAACGTTCTACGAAAACTGCCTAATAACCGGAGACCTAATCACTGCGTTCTCTGAAAGGCTCCAGGAGCGCTATATATTGGGCGAATGAAACTGGAAGCGGCACTCTTTATATAATTTACGAGACGGCAAGCCTCAGAGCCTTCGTTTTAATTAGACCCTGACATATATCTTCATCTACGACTAGACTAGAAGACCTACTTTCTGCTCTAAGCTGACATAAACAAACAACCCCCCCCTCCCCCTTCTTTTTTTACCGCCATTCTGAAGTACGAACGTAATTTGAGAGTAGGACAGTCTTCCCGACGTGAAAGATAGCCTGCTTCATTTCACTCGGCTTTATTTTCTTTACAACTAAATGTTAAAACTTGTGTCCGAGAGGATGCTCCGAAGATCACCTAAAAATCGAAACGTAGGGAAAACTAGAGAGTTGATGTATTGCGTATATGAGCATACGGGAGCGCTCTACGTTTGTGTTAACGTTGTAGGTACTCCACGCTCCGCATGCGCGTCGTCGCAACATGCGCAAATTCAAGACGCCGTACGGGATCCGCGCTCGTGCCGTGTGGAACACGCAAACCTAACGCAAACGCACAGCGTATCAGGTTTGCTCGTCTACGCAATGCTAAAACTTACTAATGTTCCGCGTTATTTTTTTAGAAATAGGAGCCATGCGATGGAACTTGCCGCAAGTAAGCCGATAGTATACCATTTTGTTCCAAAACATATTGCGATTTTTAAGCGGTAAATTTATGCGTATATGGCTTGGTTTCAGAAAATAACTGGGAACTCTAGTCGTGTGTTCATTTTCATGCGAGTTCATGTTCATGCGAATTCATTTTCTCCTCGGTTTTTTTTTTTTTTTTTTTTTTGGTAGAGCGCAGTTTTTAGGCGCCTGTTTCCGGCTTGAGCGGCGTCGCCGTCGCCGCCGCCGTCGGCGTAACCGCACGTTGCATGCAACTCAGTGGTGCATGGCGCCACAACCACGCGTTGCAGGCAACTCAGATTGCATGTAACGTGAGTTGCCTGCAACTCAGCGTTACATGTCGCCGTAGCCACGCGTTGCAAGCAACTCAGGCTGCATGCAACGTTGCATGCAACCTGAGTTGCTTGCAACCCCCCGAAGTCCCGCAACCCCCCAGGCCACGTGACCTTCCCGGAGGTCACGTGACCCCCCAAGCAACTCAGCTTGCATGCAACTTGAGTTGCATGCATGCTCCCGAAGTCACGTGACCCCCGAAGTCATGTGACCCCCTGGTCACATGACCCCCAGGTCACGTGACCCCCACCCCCCCCACCCCGTGCCTTCCCCTGCTCTTCAAGAGCTGCGCTCTAATTCGGCGTTACAGGGAGTTGTAAACGGCTTTAATTTTTTTCCTTTTCTTTTTTTCTCTATAGACGTTTTGAAGCAGCCGCACTCCGAGAGCTAGTCTGGCCACCGTGGATATGGAAAACGCTTTGTTATGGCCGCCAGTCTGAAAACCGTTGGTACGCCTCAGCACTGCTTCATTAGCAGACGATCTACCCGCACCAGCAGCAAGATGGCGGCGCCCAGAGGCCGTACTTGCAAAAGTCTATGCCCTATGCGGAGGGCAAGTCGTCTGCTTCTTGCGCAGGAGTTGCGGTGACGTCACAACGACGCCGAGCTCTTATTGGCTGATTGAGAAAAAATATAGTGGGTAGACCACAAAGCATTTAGCATTGAGATCTACCCACTATTTTTGTCCGTCAGCCAATAAGCGCTCGGCGTCGTTCTGACGTCACCGCCACTCCTGCGCAAGAAGCCGACGACTTTGCCCTCCTCATTGCCACCTACGGCTTAAGAAACACAGCGTAGTTTATTGTGTTCACACTTCTTACTCGGTCATTGTTCTTCGGAGTTCTCATCAGCTAATGCCGTATTCTCATCGGCTGCGATGTGATGTCGCGGGACTTGCAACCCCTCGCATTTCTTAGCTGTCAGTGACTATGGGCAACATGGCTGGACTATGGGTAACATGACAGGGAAAACCGGGCAGAAGTAGCAGTACGTATACGCCTTCCAGAAGACCGTAAAGCGTTCCTTTCGAACGAACAAAACCGTGTGAAAAGAGAAAAAGAGAGAGAGAAAAAAAAAAGCTGGCACTAAAAAAGTGAGAAGCTGAAAAAGGTAACGGTGTTTCCGTCCTTCTTGAATCCCGCGGGAACGCGTCTGTCGCGAAAAGGCGCTACTCCGATATGGGTGTTCAAATTCTCCGTGCCTTTGAACTCGGGGCATATCCGTCGCCGCATGCGTGTGCGCGGGACTTCGAAAATCGTGACAGTAACGGAGCACGCATCTCCTTTCAACTTTCTTTTTCTCTCTTTTCTTGTTCTGTTTTTCCTTTGTTTACCTGTTCCCTCGCCGAAAGTGTACTCGCCAGCCTGCGAGTTCGTTCAGCCTCGCCGGGGGGGACGTCGACAGATTCGCACGTCAACACACTTCACCTTCAGTGTTTTTTTTTTCTATTTTTATTATATTTTGTAGGCATGTGGCGTGTGAACGCGGTTCCGCCTTCGTTATTTCACTTGAGGCCACTTCTTATTTGCTTTTTTTTTGTGATTTTTCTACACCATTATTTTTTTACTAAAGAAACAGGTTAAATTTATTTTTCGATGCTTTTTTTCTTTTACTTCTCTACGCCTCCATCCTTTCTTTCGGCGTTAGCAAAAGCCGTGACATTTTCACCATTATTGGGCATTACATTTACATTACAGCCGGCGGGAATGACTCGAAATGGTTGCGGTCCACCGATTTCGGTCCGACCTCTCTCCCCCTGAGAGCCGTCTTTTCAAAGTCTTCCTTGGTCATCTCTTTCCTTCTTTCTTTCTGTATTTCTTTTCTCTCGTCCGTCTTTTCTACTTTTAGATAACGCGAAGTACCACGGACTGTTACACGGGAGTTTGACCTCACGATGGAACGCAGTGGTCGCTACGAGCCTTGCCAGCCAATCGAGAGCTTCGGAATTGTCACGTGACCCCGCAAAGTCGCTCCTGCACCTCTCTCCAGAAGAGCACGTGACAATCACCCCGTATTCCATTGGCTCCGACGGCTCGCAGCCTCCACGGCAGTCCATCGTTAGCCGAAACCGGGTGTATGGTCGCTAATACACGAGCAAACAAAGTTAAAAACAAACAAACAAAATCACGGACTATAAAAAAAACATCGGACACGACGCAAGAGAAAAAAAAGGCGGAATTACAGCTATACGTACGATACCGCTTCTTTTATTCACCGTTTTCTGGGAACCATCAGAAGTTGCTGGGCGCGCGGTGGGTTCTTGGCGGTCGGAAAAAAAACGTTAAGAGTTTTTTTGTTTGTTTTTCTTTTTGGCCCGAGCGGCTGTGAGAATGGCGTAGCGGATGCGTCGCACATTACGGGCGTTCCGAACGCTGCTTTAGGGTAAGCGCCGGACGACGTCTGGCCACGCTCGACGGATTTCGCCGGTTACGATGATCGTCGACCGCAGCGATTTACTCTTCTTTTTCTTCTTATATATTCTTTCAATTGCGACGGCGGCGTCCTTTTATGCTGGCCGATTATTACTTGAAACTTACGTTTCTTGGTCACTTTTTTTAACTATCTTATTGTCTCTTCTTTTTTTTTAAAGTTGAATTTGGCTTTAACTGGAAGCGTCCATCAAGAATCGTCTTTCGGGTGTCTGATGATGCTCCCAGCTTAGAAGGTAAAGTGGCGGGTCGGGGCGCTGTGAAAGCAAGACCTTGTCTTTCATCATTTCCACCTCAGTTATTAACGCGTAATTTTAATTATTCCTGGCTAGACGCGTTCACAATCA